ATCCTGAATTAAAAAATAACCTCTGTAGATAATCCTTTGGTAGATAATCTTCAATATGGCAAACATTATTTATTCCTTAAATACTCCTGAACGCCCAATGTTTTTCGATTTTTTACCTCATTGAACATGGAACATTTTACCAATTGTCTACCCAAAAATCAGGTTACAGTTTGTGTGTGTGTTATTGTAAAGGCTGCTTTGTAATTCAAGAGATCCATGATGTGGAAAATTGTATTTTAATTTTGCAGATTCAGTAACGAAAAATGATTTTTTTTGAATTTTTTTGAAAAATAAGTTTTTGATTTTTCGGTTACTTAAAGAAATATCCCAAAATGGATTAAATATTAATTTTTCACCTTTTTTTTTGTTTTTAATAGTAATAATCAATTTCTCATTTTCTTGGAGTATTTAAAGGACTGTCGAAAAAGGAACTTTAAATTCATAATCTGCGTTGAATTTTTCGTAAGATTTTCCAGGTGATAGTCTTATTTATATCCGTCCAAATAGAACCACTTTTAGTATTTTTTTGGAAAATTTTTCGACATTAGTTTCTCAATGTTCCCGGTTGTTTGAAGGGTGCGATACTATGTTTTCCCACTAATATGAAACCAGAATTAGATTTTTCTGTAAATTTCTTGAAAATTACGTTGTTATTTTTTCGATTATTTTGAACAAATATCTTAAAAAGGACTTAATTAATATAACTGATTTACATTGGAACCTCTATATTTAAATGCCTTTTCCAATACAAGAAGTTCTAAGGTTGTTTTTTTTTGGTTTTAAGAAGAATAAACTTCTCATTTTCCTTGATTATTCAAAGGATTGTCGAAAAAACTTTGAACTCGTAATTAACCTTCAGTATGAATTTCGGACGTCCAATAGAGCCAATTTCCATTTTTTTTTTAAGTTTCTGGAAATTAGCTTCTGAGTTTTCTCTGTTATTTGAAGGGTTCTCTCAAAACGGGCCTCAGGTTTATAATTGCCATCGAATTTTCTGTCTGTCAATATGTTTCCCACCCAATTGAAACGAAATTAAGATTATTGGGAATATTTTTGAAAATTAATAATTTATTATAATTTGTTCTGTATTTGAAGAGATATGCATTTTAATAAGGACTTAATGTTCATAATTTGTGCTGGATTACACTTTTTTTTGAACCAATTTCTCAGTTTTTGGAAGGATTGTTCCAAAAATGAATTCATATTCATAATGCAGGTTAAATTTGCGGGTAGTTTCTATGTGACCTTTTTTTTAACCGAGTAGAACTGTTTTTTTTTTATTTTTTTTTTAGAAAATTTTTGGACACCAGCTTCTCATTTACGATGTTTTCTCACCAAAACTATGTTAAGATTTTTTGGATATAAGAAAAGATATCCCAAGACAGATTTAATATTTATTATTTACTGTGGATTCCCTATATCTTGTAGGCTTATTTTGCTCAAATAGAATCATCATTTGTTTTTAATTAATACTCGTATCACATTTTCCTCGATTAGTCGAAAATGTTATCTCAAGTTTTAACCAAAAACATTGTCAACAAACTTTTCTAGATTTAGCAAAAAATACAAATTTATTATTAGTTTATTTTTAGTTCAGCCAAAAGCATTCTCTTTATTTTTCAGGTGCTGTAATTGTAACTAACCCCTTTAAGAGCTCACTTTTTGAGTACGAATGAAAATTTCGATCTTTTACATACAAATTTTGACTTCCAGAAATTACGTTCGTCCCCATTTCTTACAATTTTTAGAATTTCAAAAAATAAATTTTAACTGTGGCGTAAATACGTTTATTATGGTACGAAGCGAGGTGACTCCAAACGGCCCACTTTAAGGCTCTCATTGGCTGTTTCCCTTATCACGGTTCAGGGGAGAACCTTCTCTCTCGACTCAGAATTGTGCTTGGCAGGGGTTATGTAATCCACTTAGAATTACACTTACGGTCGGTGACGTAACTGTGCCGAGGGACGCAATTTCTTCAGAGAAGAGCGAGTATGCGCGGAGAGCCGCAATACAACTCAACCCGTAACGAGAGGACTGCACTGAGTCACTAGGCGCGCGGTCGTTGATCTCATTAATCAACGATACAAGGTTGGAACGTTATTCCAATTTTCTTGATTTTTTTTGTAATAAAAAGTTTCACAAAAAAATCACAGTAGGGTTATTTTTAAAATTTGTCTTACAATATTTTGTAGGGTGATAAGTAAAGATACGCGCTTTGTTGTGGTATAAAGAAGATTAAATTTTCTAAAACAGAATGTTTATAATTCATTTTTTTGATTATTACGATTTTTAAACCTCGATATTTCAGTTTCTTCAAATAGTGCACCTACATTTGATTCCTACATCTTATTCTATTTTTTGTTCTCTTACTTTTTGCTGAGTATTTTCTATATCTAAAGATGATACTTACTGCGGTTTTTCCAATTTTTAAAAAACACATCAACATCAGAAGAATGAGGACAAAAGATAGAGTAAGACTTAGTAATAAAAAACAAGGTGTTTCATTTGAAAAACTGCAATATTGATGTATGAAAATGGTAATGTTTTAGTTTTTTTTTTATAAAAAATCAGCAAATTAAAATTTGATTCAGGCGCATACTTTTATTTATCTTTCCACGAAATATTGTAAGACAGGCTTTAAAAATTATCCTACTGCGAATTTTTTTGTGAATCTTTCCATTGACCAAAAATTTCAAGAAATTTGGAACAACGTGGCAATATCGTATCAAAATTTCCAAAATATACCGTGGCTGTAAGCTTAACAAGACGTCAATCAAAAAATGTAAAAATATTTATAGTTGTGAAATAGTGTGTTTCATATAAAAAAACTAAGCACCTTATGGAGATATCCAGTCTAGTGAATCGCACTGTATATCGATAAAACTCTTGTACAACCACTACGAAACCGTATATTTAAAAATTCGGAACTTTAAAAGCACTACACAAAATTTTCAAAATTTCAGTTTTTCCTTAAAATACCACCTTACGAAAATTTCCACCTTTTTTTGACCACTTTTAAAATTATTTGAAGAGATTTTATTACATATTTCGACTTCCAGAAGATCCCTTCGATCACATTTCTTATAAAACTTCTACCATTTTTCCGGAATTTTCAAATAAAATAGGCAATTGGTAGAATTAAAAAAAATTTAGTTATTTCTAAAGCCTTGAAAACACATTATATTTTCTGAAACAGTATGTCGAAATCTGTACCAGAATTTCTGTGGATTTTTAGACAATTTTTCAAAACGCAAATGTCGACCAGCGCACCACCGAAAATTACCCAAGTAAATTTTTTTCGGTATTTCAAACTCGAGAAGTTACTTTCGGACGGAGGATGAAAAAAAAAACTTAGAACAATGAACTTTGTTAAAATTTTACGGTGGACACGTTTGTCCCTAGGGAAATATATATATAAATTAGCACTCCAGGCCAAGTTGGCCCATGGCTTGGTTAATTGCTTCTCGCCATTTCTTCCTGTTCTTAAGTTTCTTCCTCCAGTTTGCAATATTCGCCTCTGCTATGTCCTTTAGTACATCTTCTTTCCACCGTGTTCTTGGTCGTCATTGTCGACGTTTCCCTCCTATAACACTTTCCAAAATTTTCTTGGGTACTCTTTCTTCCTTCATTCTCATAACGTGTCCGAACCATCTTAATCGTTGTCCTTTTACAATTGCCACTATGTTCGGTTCGTGATATAACTCTGCCAACTCATTGTTTGTTCTTCTTTCCCATCCATCTTCTGTTTTTTTCCCTCCATATATTTTCCTGAGTACTTTTCTTTCCCATATCTTCAACATCTTTTGTGTATTTATTCCTAGTGTCCATGTCTCACTTGCGAAAATTACAATGGGACGAATAATTATCTTGTAGACCCTTAATTTCAGATCTCTTGAAGAATTGCTGTTCATAATGTTCCTAAACGCGTAAATACTACGATTTCCGACCATTATTCTGCTTTGGATTTCTCTTGTCATGTCTGGTTTCCTATAAAATTCTGTGCCCAAATAGGTAAATGTTTCCACCTCCTTGAAGCGATACGTTTTTCCTGTATTTGTATTTACTCTTAATTCTCCTAGACTATCGTACTCTTTCTCAGTCCATGTCATTAGTTTTGTTTTATCTTCATTAATCTGCAGTCCCATTTTCTGCGCTTCTTCTTCCAGGTTTACCATAGCTTTATGTAGTGCTGTCCTACTTCTTGTTAAAATTGCTACATCATCAGCAAAAGCTAGACACTGATGACTTTTGTGATATAGCAACCCTGATCTATTCAAATTGGCTTTCCTAACCACGTATTCCAACGCACAATTAAATAGAATTGGCGAGAGGGGGACCCCTTGCCGTAATCCTTCTTTCACTTAAAATTTTTTTGACAATTTTCCTTTGATTCTTACTCTATTGTCCGTGTCTTTTAAGGTGAGTTTTATCATCTTTATTAGCTTGTTTTTCATTTTTAGTTCTCTTAAAGCTTCATATAACTTTTGGCGCTTCATTCTATCATATGCTTGTTTGAAATCTACGAATAACACAAAAGTGTCTTTTTTATACTCAAAACTTTCTGCTTGTACCTCACGTAATGTAAATATCTGGTCCACTACCGACCTGTTCTCCCTGAAGCCACCTTGGTACTCTCCAATTTCCTTCTCTACTTTTTTTATTACTTGGTCTTTTATGTACGAGGCAAGAATTTTATAGACTACATTCAGAAGTGCTATTCCTCTATAGTTGGAGCATTTCATCTTATTCCCCTTTTTATGTACTGGAATGAGAATAGCTTCGTTCCAATCTTGTGGCATTTGTTCTTGCAGCCAAATTTGTTCTAAAAGTTTCTGTATCTTTTCTTCTAGCTTCTCTCCCCCGTATTTTAGTAATTCCGCCGTTATTTGATCTTCTCCCGGACTTTTGTTATTTTTTAATTTCTTTATTATTTCCTTTACTTCTCTTAGACTTGGTGCTTTCTCTTCTTCTTCATCATGTATATCTTCTTTGTTTAAATTTTATTCTATCATTCCTCCATTTTCTTCCCCATTTAGGAGTTCGTCGAAGTACCTCTGCCAGAGTTCTAAAATTTTTTCTTCATTTCCTACCAGTTCACCTTTTTCGTTTTTATAGAACACCGAACTTGATTGGTATCCTTTTTTTTCTTGTTTCAATCCGTGGTACATACTTCTTATCTCTTTAATTTTGTAGTTTTCTTCTATCTCGTCTAATTGTCTTTCTTTATATTTTCTTTTCTTTTCGCGTAAGAGCCTTTTACATATTTTTCGCTGTTCTTTGTATGCTATTAAATTTTCTTCTGTTTCATTTTTTAATACCTTCAATCTTAAAGTTGTCCTTTTTTCTAATTCTTCTTCACATTCTTTGTCAAACCATCTTTCGTTTTTATTTTCCTTCCCTGTTTCTTGAGTGCTTTGTGATGACGCTTTTCTTATTCCATTTTTAACTTCCAACCATAAATCTTCTATATCTTCTGTATCTTGCCTTTCACCTGCTACCCAATCATTCACCATTTCCAAATACATCTTCCTCTCCTCCTCATTTTTCAGTCTAATACACGTTTTTAAGTTTTTGCGTTCTTGGTTCTTCCTGTTTTTTGCAACTGGTACTATTTGCTTCATTTTTACTCCTACTAAGAAATGGTCTGTGTCCAGATCTGGTCCTCTATAACTTCTTACATCGGTTATACTTCTTTCTTCCATTCTTTCAATTAGGACATGGTCAATTTGATTTACAGTTTTTCTATCTGGTGCAATCCAGGTTCCTTTGTGTATTTCTTTTTTTTGGAAATATGTATTTTTTATGATCATATCTTTCTCTCTAGCAAATTCTATTAAAATCTGACCATTGTTGTTTGTAACTTCATATTTGCTACATTTTCCAATCGTTGGTCTAAACAATTCTTCTTGACCAATTTTTGCATTTAGATCTCCTAATACAATCTTCAAATCATATTTTTTTATTTTTCCATATTCCTTATCGAGCGTCTCATAAAATTCTTCTTTTACTTCTATATCTGTTTTTTCCGTTGGTGCACGTACATTTATAAGAATAATCTTCTGAAATCTTCCTTTCAGCCTTAAGCAGCACATCCTATCTGATATCGCTTGAAATTGCAATATATGTTGTTTTAGTTTTTTATGTACAATAAAGCCCTCACGCTCCTTCTTCATTGAGACCTCTGATATTCCACGTAGCTAATTTTACAACTTTCTCTCTTTTATTGTCTATCTTTTGTACTTTACCCATTCCCTTAATACTAGATTTCTTTTTGCTACCATTTTCTTTACTTTGTTCTCCCTTTTTATTTAAATCATATCCATAATCACTCCAGTCCGTTTTGTGGTTGTCTGCATATACCTTAACCTGGTAATCTAGTTTTTTTAGGCTTAAGCCTCTTTTCTTCGTTATGCCAAATGAAGGCGTTGCCGTCGCTTATTAATTTATTGTAGCCTAACTTGACTTTATGTCCCTTTTCTTTATGTTCTTTTGCCATTTTCCTTATCGCCGCTTGTATCTTTTGTTGGGTTGGATTTCGATTTTCTTTGGAAGAGATTCTATCTCGCACACTATCATATCGTTAGCTATTTTGTTTGCTTTTTCAATTTTTACCTTTACGTTCATGCTTTTCTCCATAAAGATTTCAATTGCTTCCCTCAAACTTTTTTCTTTCGTAACTTCTATTTTCATTCCTGTAATTATTATATTGTTTCTTATGTTTTTTCTATCCATTTATTCCACTTGTTTTTTTGCCGCTTCCAATGTTCTATTTTTTCCCTAGGGAAATAATCCTTTAAACATCCCCTAGGGAGTTTTACTTTCCATACACAAAAACAAACGAACAAGTTTGTTCCCTCGCACAATTTTTTAAACACAGCTAAACAGGCTGCGGAATTTCTTTCAACGACTAAAAAAGATTACTAAAACTGATTCTTTTTAAGAACTTTATTGATTCTCTTTTTTATACAATTTACTAAATCGAAAAATAAAATAAACACTTTAATTAGTAACATTAAGCCACTTTGTCTTCGTGAACTTGATTGAGTACAGCAAAGTAGGACCAAGAAGATTTTGCAACCTAAAACGAGAAAAAGCAACCAGTTCACATGTGGAAAACGAAAAAAGTGCATCCATAGAACTCACCGCCTTAAAAGTTTCCAGAGATAGAGTAAAATAACCCGAAGCGTACAATTTAAGAGGAAATTGTGTCCGAGTCATAAAAATGATCAAATTCTGTTTGAATTCCTTCGAAGCGTCAGTCCATTCACACATATACGCAGACTGAGTGAGTTGGTCGCTCTTGAAACCCCAAATTAGAACAAAATATCTCACATCGTCAAACTAACCTTCATAATTACTTCATTTCCGTAGAAACACCACAAGTATATCTCCAAGAGGACGCAACTTTGGTAGATAAACATACCAAAAAATTGGAAACTTGACACAGAGACGAGACTCATTTGGAACATCGACATGCACACTATGACTACTCCAACCACAAACTGACCTGTGATACTTGCAGTAAATAGAAAGGTCGCTTCTTCGGCAAATCTACAAAATAAATAATTCATAAGCCATTCTATAAATCCAGTTTTTGCTTTCTTACTGAACTATCGTTTTGAAGTGAGTGACATTTCGAACCAACGCCTCTTTAATCGTCGGATGGTCACTACTACTTGTGGGTTTCATCGTTTCTACAGCATCTTTGAGTACACTAAGCTGCGCAGAAATAAACATTATCGTCCCAGAAATACAAGTATCCATGCTAATGTCTCCCAGACCGTTGATCCAAGTCGACAAAATCTGATAAAAGTACACAAATTCGAACCCCGGAGACGTATCAGTACTGAAAGGGTACCATCCGCTTAAAGGCAATCTGATACCATCGTCGCTTGTTCTGTCTAACAGTGGTGACACGCCCCAAGAAATGCACGTCAAAGTACATGCCAGCAAATACAGACTTAAAATTATTTTCGACATTTTGATTTCTTTTCTCAGAATTTCGTACTGCGCTTGATTTCTTGGTCTGAACACTTCTGTGTTCATGCTGTAAACGAGTTTCCATATTCGTGAAGCGTTGTGTATGAAGCAGTACAACTTGAGGCATTGAACCATGTTGGTGAGAAACAAAAATGATGCGTCTGTCATTCTTTCAATGTCGCCGAAAGAATCGATCATGTTTGCCAGCTGGGTTAAGAAACATAAGAAAAATATAAAACTCAGGAATCCTAGGCGGTAGAAGAAATAGAATACTTTTATTTTGGAGTTGTGAAATTCTGGGGAAAAGTACCCAAAGAAATGAATGAGCTTGATGTTGAGTCTTAGAAATTCGCGCAGATCTAGATCTTTAAAAGTGGTGCCTTCCATGGCAAACAATCACGAAAAATAAATGTTCGTAGAATGTATTGTAATATTTTTGTTACAAGTCTATATACCTAGAAAGAATTTTCAATCGAAAGCACGTATACAGAAAAAATAAAGTACATACCACTTTGAGCTTGAGCACTACATTTATCACTTGCTCTTCGTACGGCACTATTGCATTCAAACGAATTAATGCATTTATAGTTTTCTGAGACAGCCAATCAGATTTTCCAGGAATATGGAATGCAAGCAGGCGCACTTTTTGCTGTTTATTATTTAAAATGCTAATGATAGATTTAACGTACGTTTAAAATAATAACTAATGTCATCAATACTTGGCTAAAAATTTCCATAGGTCGGGAAATAAATACAAAAGTGGCTCTTGTTTTATATTAAGCTGCTCAAGTACATTAATTATTACTGCAGCTAAACGACGAAGGAAATTTCATACTGAAAACTAGTTTGCGTTTATCTGTTTTATTATTCATGGACCTGCGACGTTATCCTGAACAATTTTGAAATGACGATATTTTTATAATCAGTAAGTTTGAATTATTTATTAGATGCAACTCGAACCCATTATTTGTGTAATTCTAAACAGAAGAATAAGTAGGCCAGAAGTTTCAAACGTAATTAATTGCAAATAAACGAAACTGGAAAAATAAGTTAATAAACTAAAAATATTTCCTAAATATTTGTGATATCATGCCAAAAATATATCAATCAAACTATCGACATTACTGTATAAAAATATTGTATCTACTTTAAATATCACTCACAATATCAGCTTCATTGTCTATGTTGTAGCAGTCGTATTTTAGTTCTGCAGTTTTATTAGACAGTGTAGTCATTTAACAAAAACGAAAATTTAAAATGAGCAAAACTTAATTCAACGTAAAATTCTATCGATTAAAAAATTATTTTCAGACATTAAAATGGATGAACGATGAATATTAAATTTACACATCAAACAATTGTCAACATTGCCAAAAATTACATTTCAGTTGTTGCTTCTAAAACATTATAGAGGTAATCGAAAAAAGAAATAGAGAGTTTTCCGGCGGATTTCTAATTCTCTGGATTTACCAAGTATATAAATATTTACCTCGAACCCACTATCAACTGCACAAAAATAAATAAATTTGGAAATATAAAAATTTTGATTTCAGAATATTTTTTCATTTTCGTCGATTATTCGAAGGATTGCCAAAAAAGAACTTCAAATCCATGGTCTACTTTTAGAATTTTTTTATAAAATTTTTGGAAAATATTTCCTCATTTTTCTCGGTTATATGAAGGGCTTCAGTTTATCATCTACATCCAATTTTCTTTTTACACCATGTTTTCCCATCCAAAATAAGCCAGAATAAATTTTTTTTGAAAAATTTTTGAAAATTATATTTTTGTTTTTACGTTTATTGGAAGATATATCCTAAAAATGACTTAATATTAATGATTTACGCTGAAATTTATCCAATTAATCACTCTTTTTGTTCAAATATAAGTATTTTATAAATATTAACGTTGAATTTTCTATATGATTTTCCATGTGATAGTATCTTTTTGTGTCCGGACAGAGACACTTTTAATATATTTTTTCAGAAAATCATTAGGCGTTAGTTTCTCATTTCTCTCGGTTATTTGAAGGGCTAGCTCGAAGAGGGCCTCAGGTTCATAATCTATATCGAATTTTGTGCATGAAACCATGTTATCCCACCCAAATGAACCCAGAATAAGATGTTTTGGAAAATTTTTGAAAATTAAGTTTTAATTCTTTGGTTTATTTGAAAATATTTAACAAAAAATACTTAATATTAATGATTTAAGTTGGAAATAGAACCATAAACCTTTTTTTTAGAATAAATTTCTCATTTTTGTTGCATTTTGCCTATGATTTTTCATGTCATGGCACCTTTCTCCGTCCAAATAGAACCACATTTGGTGTTTTTTTGGAAAATTTTTGGATAACAGTTTCTCAATTTCCTCGATTATTTCAAGGGTACGCTGAACGAGCCTCTAGGTTTATTATCCACATCGATTTTCTCGTTCCGTTGGAAGCACTTTTAACGCTTTTTGGTTTTTAAGAATAAATCAATTTTTTCATTTCTTCAATTATTAGAAGGATTGTCTTAAATTTGTATTCTTCAATTTGCTGTATGATTGTCCATCATCCGACTAGAGCCACTTTTCATATTTTTTGAAAAAAAATTTGGAAATTAGACTCTCATTTTTCTCTGTTATTTGAAGGGTTAGCTCTAAACGGACCTCAGGTTCAGAAATAACATTCTTCGATATGACAGTATGTTTTCCTACCTAATTGAAGCCAAATTAAGATTTTTTGGAAAGTATTTGAAAACTAAGTACGTTGAATTTTCTATACGATTTTTCATATGATGGTACTTTTTTCTGTCCGAATAGAACCAGGATTAATGTTTATTTTGAAAATTTTTGGATATCAATTTAAAATTTCCTCGGTTATTTGACGCGATATTTCAAAAGGCCCTCTCAAGTCTGTTATATCGGTTGAATTTACTACGTTTTTCTAACCAAGTGAAGCCAAATTAAGATTTTTTTTGGAAAATATTTGAAAATTACGAGTAAATTATTATCTCATTGTTTTATTGGCTTATTCGAAAGATCGTCGAAAGAAGATTTCGAATTCGTAGCCTACGTTGAATTCTCTGTATGATTTTCATGTGATAATGATAATACTTTTGCCGACTGGATAGAGCCACTTTTAATATTGTTTTAGAAAATTTTTGGATATCACATTGTCATTTTCTCTGATTCATTGTCTCTGTCGAATTTTGTATATGATACCATGTTTTCCCACCCAGATTAATCCATATTAAGTTTTTCGAAAAATTGAAAATTACATGATCGATTTCTTCGTTATTTGAAGAAATATCCGAAAAGATTTAACATTCATTGTTTACTTTAGATTCTCTTTATTTTGTTGGCTTTTTTCGACCAACTAGAAACATTAAAAAATGTTTTTGGGGTCAGTTTCTCATTTTCCTCAATTCAAATATTCAAAATTCAAAAGATCACCAAAAAAAAAAAATTCAAATGCGTGTTCTAGGCTGAATTTTCGGGTATGATTTTCCATGTAATTTTTCTTTTCGAATAGAACTAAGAATTAATTCCTCATTTTTCTCGATTATTCGAAAGATCGCCGAAAAAAAGACAAATTCATAATCTAAGTTAAATTTTCTGGAATATTAGTTAACGCCATATAATTTATGATATGACGCAATTTGCTAGATACCTATAAGCTTTTCTAGGTTCAGCAATTACATTATTAGTTGTTCAAATTGTTGCTTAAACAGTAATCCAAAGTGGTAAATAAGTTAAGTATTTAAATTTCGTTTGTGATTGCACTGTTAGTACCGATGGACCGGGGACAACCGCGCCGAAACTTACGAGACCTCTGCATGTACCCTGTGGGCACAGCATACTGAAGTAATCTAAGCTAACAAAGACATAATTTTTTCAAAGTAATTTTTTTTTACAAAAAAAAGACAGAGAGACGAAATCGAGAGATCTAATTCTTTACATTCAACGGTTATAAAATGTCGAGAAAACATAAACTAGTAACATTTTAAATAAAAAAATAAATAAATTTCAATTTTTTCACACTTCCTTCAAACAGTTAGATTCAGTTGTCTTGAAAATCCCTAGAATGGACCGTGTTAAGCATTGCAAAATACGACCAACTTGATTTCAAGATCTGCAAAATATACATGAATATAAATAAAAAGAAATACAAACAACATACCACCATAAGAGTTTCCAGAGATAAAGTAAAATATCCACCGGCATACAGTTTTAGAGGAAATTGTGATCGAGTCATAAAAAACAATAAATCCGTTTTAAAGTCTTTCGAAAATTCAACCCATCCACACATGTAAGCTGACGTCGTGAGATTTGTGCTCTACAAACCAACGATAATAATCAACATGGAAAAAATAATACTAGATTCCACCTTCAAAATGACTTCGTTGCCGTAGTAACACCAAAGAAAAATTTCTAAAAGGATACACGCTTGATATATCACCATGGACAAAAACTGCAAACTTAAAGCAGGCAGTAAACTCATTTCAAACATCGTTATACATATTATGAAAACACTGACGAAGAATTGACTGATCAAGCACGTTGAGAACAGAGTGGTAACGTCTTCGGCAAACCTGAAATCTGACAATTAAGTAATTGACAATTTTTTCTAGCCCATTCTCCATACGTAAGGATATTTTTATAGTGCAGTATGCTTTTTAGCAAAAGCTTTCTAATTTCCACTTGATTTTGTAGCTCTGGGGTCATTGTCCGAAACGCTTTGTTTAGCAAACTTAACTGACCAGAGATCACCATTATAGTTCCAGAAATGAAAGTGTCTGCACTGATATTTCTCATTCCATTGATGCAACTAGCCAACACCTGGTACATGTAAATTATTTCGAACACTGGAGATTCGTTTATGTTAAAAGGGTACCATCCGCTGAAAGGCAACCTAATATTTTCACCCTCCACGTTATCCAGAAGTGGAAAAATCGCAAACAGAACGCAACCCATACAACACATTGACAAAAAAGTTTTAGTGATGAGTTTGGAACGGTTAATGTCTTTCAACAGTATTTTAGCGTCGTCACTATCTTTGGGTTGAAATTCTTCTCTGTTAATACTGTTAATCAAGTTCTCGACTTTGGTTCTTTGGAATATGAAACAGTAGAGTTTTACCAAGTGTACCAAATTTGTCAAAAGCAGGAAGGAAGCAGCCGCCATTTCTTCGATGTTTCCAAACGCAATCACCATGTTTGCAATTTCGCTTGAAACTTGTCCATAGGCAAAACAAAGTATCAAGGTAGAGTGAATTCGATAACAAATTTTGCTAAATTGCGATTTTTCATCTCCAAGTGGAAAATAGGCCAGATAGTGGAAACATTTAATGTTCAACGTAATGAAATTTCGGACGTCTATGTTTTCAAATGAGTTGGAATTTTTTTCCATGTTTGATTTTAGAAGGTAAATTTTGTGAATAATGTCGCTAACGACGTCAATAATAACCAGCAGCGCAGCACTCCTCTCATTTAATGTAATTTTATGAGACAGTAATTAGGTTAATAATATAGTGACGTCGCTGAACCCTGCTCTAAAACTGTAATTATTAAAATTCATCTCCGAGTTTTTATTAAAAATGCAGTCGCTTTCATTGCTACAATAATTATTATAATTATTATGAATGCGGTTGTATTAGCTCTAAATTCAGTGAAAATTCTAACCCTAATTTCAAACAGTTTTTATTTTCGTGTCTGAAAAATTGTCTCTACGTGGAGGGCAAACAAATTGTGTAAGTTTAGAAATACGTATGTTAAAATTAGTATTAAATATTTTTTAGGGAGGACACGCTGTTTAAAATAAGAAAATCTAATTTATTATTATAAGACCCACCACTGACCCGGAAATGACCGGCATTCGGGCAAGACTTCTTTCATTAGGGGTACTAAGACCAACTAATGATATGCATTGATTAGATTAACAAAACAACTTTCGAGATTCTAGAATTACAGCATACAAATTAGTCTGCTATTATTCTCTAATCTCACCCCATCCCCAAAAGTTTAGCATAACTACCGATCATTTATCCGCGCATCACTTGGAAAGTGACTTACACTACTCTGACCTACTGGTGCTAAACTAATCTGACTGACATGATCAGACAAAACAGCTTTTTGAATTTTGATAATTATTGAATCATTCAAATGTAAAGACTTTAAATTCTCAACTAAGCTATTTGGGACTATACCTACATTAGAGATAACTAAGGGTAGAATTGAATTTTTTTTAAGATTCAACATGGATTTCATTTCTATCGATAATTGTAGATATTTTGAAATCTTGATGTAGTATGTTTGAATAATGTTGTTTGTGTTAGGAATAGCAATGTCAATGAGAATGGCTTCGTTCGTGTGTTTTTTGATAAGTATGATGTCTGGTCTGTTAGGTGTAATGTTTAAGTCTGTAAGTATTGTGCGATCCCAGTATAATTCGTATTTGTTATTTTCAAGGAACGGAGATGGAATGTAAGTGTAATAGGGTGTCGTATCTTCGATTAAGTTCATAAGTGTTGCTAATTCTTTGTGAATGATTTTGGTTGCGTTGTCGTGTCTAGCTTTGTAGTCAGTTTGTGCCAGGATCCTGCAGGAGGAGATTATGTGCTGGATCGTTTCAGGTTTTGCTTTGCAGAGGCGACAGCAGTCGTTTCTTATATTCGGATCTTTGATGATGTATTTTCTGTAATTCTTGGTATTGATTACTTGGTCTTGAATAGCAAACACAAATTCTTCTGTTTCGGCACACAAACTTGATTTTTTAACCAAATCAATGACATCTTCTTGTTGATATGAGTTTCTTCTAAGTCTTTGTAGAATTTTCCATGTAGTTGTTTTTGTTGTAGTCCACTTATTATTTTGTCTATTGTGTGGGGGGTCTGGATTTCTTCGGTGTTCGACAGATTTAAGGGTGTGTGGTTCAAATCTGCTCTTGTGATGGTGCGAAACATTTCATTTCTTTCTGCTCGTTTCAAGAAATACTTCTTCAGATCTGAGACTTGTCTCTGATATAAGTTTTCTAGGTTCTGGAAACCCCTGCCTCCATTCTGTCTTGGCAATGAGAATCTTTCAATGGACGATTTTGGACGATACCTTCTATACTGTGTGAAGATTTTCCTTGTTGCGATGTTTAAATTTTCAAGATCAGTTTTGGACCATTTAATGACTCCAAAAGAATATGTTAGCAGTGGAACGCAGAATGTTTTTACTGCTTTCATTAAATTTTTTCCATTTAACTGTGTCTTCAATATTAATTTTAATCTCGCTAGGTATTGATCTTTCAACTGTGTTTTCGTTTTGGTATGATTGATGTGGGAAGATTGACAGAAACCCAGATATTTGTATGTATCATTTCGTTCTTGGGCTTCGATTATTTCGTTATTCTGGGTTATATGTGGTACTTGGTGTTGGACGCCTTTTCTGATTGCTTGGGTCTTACATTTCTCAATACCAAAACACATATCAATACCACCGGAAAACTGTTCAGTCAGATTTAATAGTTTTGTTAACTGATTTTGTGTACTTGCATATATTTTTATGTCATCCATATACAGCAAGTGACTTATTCTGTTTTCTCTTTGTTTGTTAATTCTTATATTGAACCCATAATTGCAGCTGTTCAGGATATCGGAGAGGGGATTTATTGCTAAGCAGAACCATAACGGGCTAAGAGAATCGCCTTGAAAAATTCCTCTTTGGATCATTATTGGATCTGACTGAATTGTTTGTTCATTTAAGGTTATTTGGAGGGTGGTCTTCCAAAATTCCATGAAACATTTGAGAAAAGTGCAGATTTTAGTATCAATTTTGTTTAATTCCAGAATTTTGCATAGCCAGGAATGAGGAACAGAATCGTAAGCTTTCCTATAATCAATACAAGCAGTATATATGTTTCGGTTTTCTTTTCTAGCTTGTTCACAGATGATGGAATCTATGATTAATCGCTCTTTGCAACTAAAGGATCCTTTAATACATCCTTTCTGTTCTTCATTAATGATCTCAGAATTAAACAGTGTTGATAAATTTTTTGTGTAATGCATGAGGTTAATATTTTATAGATTGTCGGTAAACATGTGATAGGTCTGTATTTTGATGGATTTTTTGTGTCGTTATCTTTAGGTTTTAGGTATGTTACACCATGACATAAGAATGTTGGAAAGGAGGATGGGTCAAGAAGGAACTGATTGAAGTGATGTAGTAGGTACATGAATATGTACACAATTTAATTTTTTTATCCAAAAATTATGGATTTTGTCTGGTCCTGGTGATTTCCAGTTGTGTGTCTTATTGATGGTATTTATTAATTCGGCAAGTGTTATCTGATGATCATTATTATTATTATACCCATTCCATTTTTGTATCTTCATTCAGTAAAGTTAACACCGGTTATGGGGCCAGATTAAACTGTACTTCTCAACTTTGAGCAATAACGGTATGAAAACAGAGGTCTCGAACTCCACTCGAATTATGGAAGAATGATAAATCTACTGTGGATAACTTTTGGGAAGAAGCTTACGTACTACATAAGGATCCAAAAAGTCTGAGTTTTTTGTCTAACATTTTTTACAATTTTTTTTTTCCGTCTCACTTTATCGACTCTCGTTAACCCGGGGATTTTTCTTTCTTTTCCTTTCACACACAATATTTTTTACTTTTGAGCTGTTCCTTTAAAACTCATGATTGACTTTCGTAAATGAGCGTTGTGACTAAAGCCGCCTCTTATACTTTTACTTTTGTGTCTTGGGATATCTATTCCTTATTAAACAATTGGTAATTCTTCTAATCCTCCTCTAGTTTCTGTTTTTGCTCCTAGATATCTTATTTTTAGTTCCCGAACATAAGCTAAGAAAGTATTGTAATCGAGTCCATTGGCCGACTCTTTATTCTTATGTTTTCTCTACCTTCCATGGCCTCTAGAGCGCGATTATTTTTGTTTTTAGTCCATTTTAATAATTTCAACTGACTTCATTAACCCCATAGTAATCTTCATAAGGAGTTCATGATTCACTAGTTTAAATTTCAATGAAGAGCACATTTTTATTTCTTCTACAAAAATATTAAGAGGTGTTGCTAGCAAAGGCAACGGTAAAATTCTTGGCTCAGAAGAGCTGTCAGTAATATTTCCGTCGAATCCTGGCTGTCATAATAATAATTAGAATAATTTACAACATTACCTGCTTGCTACTTATCCGAGCTTTTCGGATTCTGGCCAAGTACTTAATTTTATTTTGTCTAGTCTTTGTTTTCGAAGTTCCTGGTAACCGAATAGATAAATGAATAATGAATAAATAATAAAAAAGGTGTTGTTAAATATAGAAATGAACACAAACGATACATATTTGAAAATATTTAATAACTACAAATTCATATGTGATTTTACCTTTTCGGGACATTGTACTAGAAACAATTTTATAGCAAAAACATTTTTATGCCAGTACAGTGGGAACATTATTTTGAACGCGTTTTCTTAAAATTCATTCTATTTTATTTCGTTTATTACAGGAAGGAATAAGGACACTCTAGGATAATCGATGAATAAAATAAATACTGCACAGTATTGTCTCCCCAGTTTAAAGTGGTTTTTATGATAGGTCCATTGTGTCGAAGTTACTGGTGAGGACAATGGAGTAAATCCCTAGCCATAAATAAGAAAGTGGTCGGTTTCTTGCAGGGCCGTACTTTGTTATTCAACTCATATTGCCCGTCGTGGGGTAATAATGAGGTGATAATGTTTATTATCTTGTCATAAAAACCACTTTAAACTGGAAAGACAATACTACATAAAGGATAGAAAATATTGAATTTTATTTTTATTATTTTATCAGAAGATTAACACTTTGAACAGTAACATAATAATATATTTTGTATGTATGTATACATCAGTGTAATAATATCAATAATGACAGTATTATTAACAAAAAATAAATTTAACATCGTTAACGTTATACATTCGGATACATGGTATCAATTCTCTTAATAAATTTAATGCATTAGATAATAAAAGTTGGTATATAGGATTTCGGCTGTCCTTCAAAGTGGACCAATACGTCCTGCACATCAAATATTTGACTGGTTACGTTTGTATTTTACCTTAAGGACCCTACCAACTTCTCTCTTTTTCAACTTAATATTTAGAGAGCGGATTTCTAGGTTTAATGATTTTTGTGAAAAATGTAAGCACTTCAAAACTTTTTTATATCTGTA